CAACACCTCTACAGCACCGAAGACTGTCACCGCCTCTGTAGGCACACACGGCACTAATGTAAGTTTTTATATGTACACTTACGTAGCAATTACGTTTGAACTATCTAAATGTCAGTCATATTGTAAATTTCATTTGCTTATCGTGTTGTTATAAAGTTATATTATAATATGAATGAGGAGTACTAGGCGTGTTTCTCATAGATCGAAGTCTTTTTTGTTGAATTGTGAATGTTACTTTGCTCGCATAATTAGGTTGAATTTATTTATATGGCAAAAGTGGCAAACTAGCAAGAGGCTCTACTTGAAATCGCCAAAATAGCAAAGTTACCGATGCCCACAGACAACGACATTTTCAGATATGTTGCCTACTTTTAATCGACAGAGAAGACGCTCAGAAAGAGGATATTATCCGATTAATATTAAGATAATGTTACGAAAGACAATTTAATTAGGTTTGTTAGACCAGACAAGATTCCAGAAAAATAACGTTAATGTTTAAAATTTTTATCGAACAAACCATATAACTTTTATATTATAGACATCTGAGGAGTCACAAGGAGCTTCTGGGTCGAGCCAGCACAATCAAGATCTCAAATCGGAGGGAGTGCAGGCCGGGGGTACACTTACAACTTCCAAGTCCTCCTCGACTTCCACACGCTCTAACAAGGAACATTTGCAGCATATGCCTAAGAGCGTTGACTACGGAGACGGCAATGAATCCGTAAGTGTAAATATACATTAAAATAGCAAATACTAAAATGCCATGGTCGACAGGCTTATGTCATTTCTGCAGAGTTAGTACAGTTATGATAGTACACTATTTATGTCAAGGAATATTAATTAAAGTAGCAAGACATAGAATAGTTACAAAGATAAAATTGTAGTAAGAGTAATTGACGCATTAAACTAAAAGTTAAATATTAAATTGCAAAAGGAAATAAGAAATTTAATTCCACGACCAATATCGAACAAATGCTTAATAAGCTAAAAATTTTAGAACTACCTACATAATCTGTGCATGACAGTTATCTATAAAGTGATTCAGATACACATAAACATTGGTGTGGATATAACTGTTTGTATGTTTGAATAAAATTGTTGCTATATTTTCAGTCACGTGAGTCGGAGAAACACGCTATGCATCATCACAACGTTATTAATAACAATACTTCGGGATCACGTCGCACTAAGTCTAAGAGCACTGAAGACATGAATATGGGTATGTACACTTTATACACATTCATGTTATCTATCAAAAGATATTCATTTTACGAGATACGTTTTCTCCTGGCTATGTTCAAGATTAAAAAAGTAAAAAACAAGGTAGTCTTGGTCATTTTGCAATGTATCATAAGTTTGACAACCTTTTAATTATCTTGTTTAACAAGGCATAAACTCTGACAAAATAGGAAGTAAGTGGTTTAATGCATCCAATAAAACTCAGAAGAAGTATGAGGTGAAAGTAATTAATTTTTTTTATAGATTCGAGTACTCTGAAACGAATGCTGAAGCCAATGCCTTCAACCGAGAGTCCCGTGACGTCGCCGGAGATGGGCCGACGTCGGTACGGCGCCGCTTGCCCGCCGACCTGCTCGCACGCGCATGCGCACCGCCCACACCCACATCCACATGCACACCCGCACTACTCGCATGTCAACAACAACAGCCGGCAGAGCTCGCAACGGTAACTATGACAATAAGTTAAAATATCACTGTAGTTGTCCACTGTCAAAATATATTGTTGTTTCTGTTCTTTTAATGAGAGTTTGTGGGATGATAATATGTTTTGACAGTGAAAACTCACCCTTTTAGCGAATGGGATTGCAAATTAATTTCGTATACATTTGCAGTCACATATGACGACAACGGTTACGAGAAAAAGATATTCTAATGTTAACATTAACACGCTTATTGCAAGGATATCAGACTGCAAGCATTTGCTTTCGTTTTTTTCGCCACTGCCTTTGAAAAGTTAACGGACTTATTCAAAATAATTAATAATTCTACCTGTTAGCCGTGGCGTTGGAGTGGGCGCAGCTCCCAGCGGATACCCGGGTCGCGGGCTGTATCTGGAGCTGGGCGGGGGTGAACGCGACCTGTCACCGCCCTCGGACAATGTGATGTTCGACAACCAGTGCTACGCCACTACGCCATCCTCGTCAAATGGCAACTCCGACCAGGAGCCGTGCCAGCGCAGAGATCCTCGAATGCATCATCATCCGGTATTGTATAGTTTTAAATGATCACTTTTTAACAAGATACTAACATAACTAACGAGATGAGTATATTTACTTGACCACTTAATCGACTACTTACTCAATTGAAAGGCATTGCAATGGTTGCTTCTTAATGCTGTGTTGTCTATTTCCGAAATAAGTGAGTTTGTTAACGTTAATTTAAAAAAAATATTACGAATGTATTTATTTGATAAATGCATAAATTCTAATTTGATGTGTCCTTATACGGGGAGCCTTGCTCCATCTGTTAGTGTAATTGGAAATGGCTGGCGAATCAGAAATTAGTTTTAGAGGTCAGTATAAATGGCCTAAGGAATCGTTAGGTTAGGTTTTTTTATCTTGGCGTTTTGCACCCATGGATTCTAATGTACTTTAATGTTGAGCAGCAGAAGCCGTGTCTGTCGCGGCAAGCATCCCAGTCGAGCGCAACACCCGCGCCCGGGTCTCCCACTTCGCGACTTCTGCTCGAGTACGAGATGCACTTGCGCAACACGCTTGCCAAAGGCATGGATGCTGAGAGTTACAGCCTGCATACATTCGAAGCTCTACTCAGTCAGAGTATGGAAGATCTGGGTAAATACGGTTTAATTATGGTACAAAAGTTTTGGCGTTATTACGCCACGACGATATACTTTATTTTAGTTGTCCTTTGATTGGAGAAAAATTGTGAACAATTAAGAGGGAATTCTGTTGCAATTAAGAACAAGGCCTTGTCATAGATTAAATTTAAAAAATTATAATTCATTTTGGGATTACCTTAATGTAATCTCTTTTAAATAATTTAATAATTTCGCCTCGGTGTTACGCTACTATTGATTAAATGTATAATTCATTCTCATTGCAAGGTTAAAAACTAAACATACCTACATATATTACCTATGTTGCATTTGGAATAAAACCTGTTATTTTTTTTGCCCAGAATACAACGACAACATGCCGCCTTCAAATCAACGAAGCCCATATCCACCGCGCAGACGTAAGTTTTTATAACAACATTAATCCAGTAAAATAATACACGACATTAATTTACCAGACGACAAGCAATAAATTTCTAACATATTATAAAAACTATTAGCAAAATCGGCCAGGAGCGTACTTATAAACAAACATAAAAAATCATAGACATGCGAATTGAGAACCGTTAAAATGTGTATAGAACATTAAAATCACTATGCAATAATTTCATTTCCAATTTTCATATCAATCAATGTTGGTATATCACACCTTTTCTTTCAGTGCGATAACAATGAACAATTAATTAAAGTTAATGTGTTTCTGTCTCTATGCAATTTACCGTATAATGTTTTCTCGTGTTTCTATATTTATTATACGTTACTAAGCGGCAATATCCTAAAGATGAAGCATATACATATTTTGCGCTCACGTGGTTGAACCTTATCTTAAAACAAGCTTCAAGCTTAGTTGGAATATTGCAAGAAATATAGGTATATTATTACGAACACAGGCCCTGCTTCTCAATGTTCGGGCGGTGGTAGTCGATCCTCCACTCTGCCGCTCCCGCATCGCCTCGGCGTCGAACGGCAGCACAGCGCCAGATCTGACCGAGATGGATATTATAGGTAAAGTATTTTTGGATTCATACATTTAATAGCAATGTAGTCAATGAAGCATAACACAACATTATTTATCTTTAAGCTACAGCTAACAATACCACAGAATCAGATTGCCGTTACACGTATTGATATTTATTGTATACTAGCTGTCGCCCGCGACTCCATCCGTGTGGATATATAAAAAAAACTTAATATATAGATAAGTTAAATAAAAAGCAGCACTTCAAGGCATAAATTCGAAAAAAAATAGTATCCTATGTCCGTCTCCTGGCTCTAAGCTACCTCCTCACCAATTTTCAACCATATCGGTAAAGCCGTTCTTAAGTTATAAATAGTGAAACTAACACGACTTTCTTTTATATATACATATAGATTCTATTTTGTCAAAGATAATGTGTCATCAGTTGAGTTCTACGCTTATCATTTGAATTAAAAATCAAAAGTTTATCTCTACATTGAAAACAATATATATAAATGACCACATGTTTTCGGAGCTAGTTTAGTTAAGTAGTTTTGATATTTTTTTCAAATATTTTATTATTTACATTTTATCTTTTGTTGAAAACTTACAAAATATGGAATAACTCTATATATACAGCACAGACTTCCTTACAACATGGTTTCGTAAAGGACTAGTGTTCTAGAAAATAAGAAATACGTGCCTCGGAATATTTAACAAAATTACTGAGGTTCAGTATGTCAGTTTAACCGTGGCTTCGCACTGCTGAAAAACTTCCTACATGGCAATACTCGCCTTGTACTAGAAAAAATATTTGATTTTGTACATGTTATTCAGCACTTTGACTCGCAATATGATTGTAATGTATTTGAACCAAAGATAATACGTTGTGGAGGGTTAATATACTAGTATATCTTTGATGTTGAACTCCTTAATTTCTCTTCATTACTCATCTTTTTCTGTTTGTTTTATTTAGACTATTTTTTGAGTCTAGTAGTTTAAGTATCAATATCTAAAAAATAACAAACCCTGTTGCAATAAACGGCTAATCGTAATAATAAACTATCTTTTCATATTGCTCTATACAAATTTTAATAATGTCAAAATCGGAAACAAAACATTATTCAAAATCAGTTCAATTAAAAATCCGAATAAAAATGTTTCATTATTCCAAAAACAAAGCATCGTAACTTATACAACTTTGAATTGGCAAAGAAAATAGGCCAGTCGTTGTTCGTCGGTTTGTTAAATGCAAAGCTCTATTTCATTTGTATCCTCTTTTTGTTGTTTATTGATTGAGGTGTTGTATTGTTGTCGCAGCGACCGTAACGAGCTAATGCGCGAGAGGGAAAGGGAGAGGGAGAGGGAGCGCGGGTACCTCAGCGATCATAACACAAGGTTTGTTGACGCGTAGCTTTTAATTGAAAATGATTTTTGTAACAATGGGTGAAATTGTAACAGATTGATATGTTGGATAATGTATTTTTTGTACCGTTTGCAGTTAGAATATTAAAAATAAATGAAACATAGACTTATAAACATGAATAGACAGCTTTTTTTAAAGTTTTAATCAGTTCAGCTTACATTTATTAGAAATGCCATGATATTTATTATTATAAAAGGCTTTAATGATTAACTATAGTTATATCTAAAAAAATAATTTATTCAAAAATTATTGCTTTTTGAAATAAATTTAGGCAAAATGAAAAAAAAAGGACAAAATAAAACTTGTTTACTTATTTTCCTGGAACACTGTGAAGCCCTAAATAAACGTGTTATTAATTAATGAAGGGTTGAAATGGGGATGTTTTTTGACAGGGACCGCAATCGGGACCGTGATCAAGGATACTTGAGCGATCATCAATCAAGGTAAGTTTAAACAACATTTTATCCAAATGTATTATAATAAGATATTTAATATTATAAATAAAAATATAGTAAACACTGTACTAAATAATGCAGCAATAGAGAACACAGATTTCACCTAAACATATTTAAAACTAATGTTAAAACATGGTTTGGTTTTCACATTCTTGCATCCATGGATTGAAAAATCTTCCAGAAATAGAAAAAATTTTATTATAGTAATTTCATATAGTAAACTCTTTAAAATCTTAGCTTAGAGCAATTTTTTAATATCGATAGAATAATTTGTTTTAATAAAACTAGCCACATTAATAATTTCAAATCATCAAATCTATGTTCTTCATCCCTATGTAACCATCCCCATATAATCATAATGATCATTCCTTATGTAATTATTTTTTTGTATATATTGCGGTATTCAATTTATGTACATAAATATAATATAATAATAACTGTTGTCTTGTAGAACTATAGCATTTCTTAACATGTGCAAATCATATACAATACGATAAGAACAAATAAGTAGGAGATCTCGGCGAGATAATAACAAAACATCGCTTTGTCTTGTTGTACAGGAAACTAATAAATTTTGGGCTCCATAAACTTCGGTATTGTCTTACATTTGGTATATTTTGGCTTCATAAATTGCAGGAGATTTTATTACGATGAGTATTTTGTTTCGATTATATCATATAATTTCTATTATTAATATAAACATCATCCTATTTTTTAAAATTTGAATTGATTGGCGTAAAATGTATTTTACGTATAGTCTGGATTACTCTAGCTCGACCAATACCTTGAAGACATATTACATATTAAAATAAAACCTCACGTACATATTTGACGTAAAATAGTGTTTAACGTGAAACATTTACGGTTTATTGATAAATTAGTTACCAGAATAATTAACATTCTAACTCAAAAATTAAATCTTAATTTAAAAATAAATATGGCACTTTTGAACTTAGTTTCGTTCATGTGTCACGTGAGAGACGTACGTGCTAAGCTGGCATGTTGTCGCTACGTTTCTAATGCCGTTTCGAATAAAGCTTTTGACGCTTGACGTGAGTTGAGGCTGACAAAACTTCATTGTCAGCTTTCCGGCGGCGCGGCCGTGCGCGTTCTTTGTTGATGTTTTCATAAGACATTTTCCTTCACATCCTCGTGAACATTTGGATGGAAAAGGGCAACATTCCAAAATAAAAAGACAATCTCCAGGAAAAGACACGTCCTAACCGTGAAAAGCATAGACGATTCTATTATATTGTAGCTTAAACAAATGTCCACCCTTTCATCACATGCTGATATAAGATATAAGTAAAAATATGATTATGCGAAGGCGTTCAAAATGCGATCTTGTCAAATACATCACTAAGTATTTATACCGGAAGCAATATTGGTTATGTTTAAGGATAAACCATACCTCTTTTTGACTACGTTGATATCCATACAATCAATTAGCTGCGGTCAAACGGATAAATCACGTGTTTTTATTAAATGTACCATGTCTAACTGTATTTTTGGAATAATACAGTAAAGTATTACTAAGTTTCAATTAGTTTCACGTAAATAAATTAATTATTCTAACTCTTAATGACTTTCTCTCTAGAAAAACAGAAAGATTTATTTATAAGTATCTTTCATCAATGACTTTGTTTTACGAATAATCTGAATGTTTTATTCCTAAATCCATTATCTTAATTATATGTCCAATTCGAAAAATAAAGAATTATTTATTTTTAATTCTGAATTTCGTACCAGTACCGAAGCGTTGTCGAGTGTTTTTATTAATTAATTGGAATCGCGCACCGAGTAAATATAATTTAGTCCTTGTTAATGGGGTAGGAAATGTCTAGCTCCAAATAGTTAGCTCGTGAAATTGATGATGTGTTTTTTGTGTATGTAGTGAATACTTTAAATATTGCATTTTCATAAAATCATTTCACATAATATCTGCAATTATTCCGTAATTGCTTTTTGTAAAAATAACAATTTAAATTTAAGACTTATCTCAATACAAATATATGTACAATTAACTATTGGTTTCTGAGACGAAGATCTCTGTATAAATCATATCGTCATCCCTGTCATTATCTTCAACAAAACAAGGATAACAAATTGTTTTTATGTGGATTTTTGTCTCAGAAACCCACGGTAAATCATCAAACTAAGTAACTAAATTAATCAGTAAAAATTTTCACCTCGAATTTCAGTGTAACGTATCTATCCATGTAAATCTCGGGAAAATTAATAAGCAAGCGCTATTTGAAATATAGCTACGATATATTGTCTCACTTTATCATCCGTTTATTGCGACGCTGAATTTATTAAAGTTGTACGTAGCACTGCCAAACGCTACGGCGTAGCTGGGCGTAGCAATCAGAACGGAGAGGCTACGAGTGTTCATTGATTTGTATGCAAAAATTCACGTCCGTGACCGAACACTTCATCGATTGAATATTTTTACCTTAGTGCTCTTATCTTTCTTCTTCACTTAAGTTATGGAATGTTTTAAGAGACGGAAAATTTAACTAACAGATTTAAAACTGAAAAATAAATGTGCAGCCCCATTTTTAGTAGACCAACAATATATTTTTTGGCCAACCTATTTCCTTAAAACATTACGTTTCGACAAATCATATATTACGTACTCTTCCGTGCCGTTTGCTTTTTTGCTCTTTCGGAAATAGCAAGATTGTTTTGAAACAATAAATTATTGTATTTCGTTTTCCATTATTTTGTGAGTTCCAGTTTAGTAAAATAAGTTCTAACAATAAAACTGTCATTATAGAAAATGTCATATCATTTTACAATTGTTTTCTACTGTTTCAAAATATTTTATACTTTTTAAAAGTAGATAATAATAGTCTTTAAAATCTTAGTGCAGTACAAAGTAAAGAATACACATGATTTAAGTTTAATAACCATTAGTTCGTTTGTGCGGAGTAAAGTAAAATGAATAAAAAGCTTAAAATGTCAGTACGGCATTTCAGTTGAGTCTGACCTAATTTTATGCGCTCGTATGTATGCGGTTGCTTACATTCCTAACGATGGAATTACGGATGGCAGCGTAAGTTTAGAAATACATCCATTAGTTTATAGCTGACTGACTTTTTTTGTTATCTCCGACCTCAAGTATAACTATGCAAGAGAGATTAAACTATTATTGTAAAGGAGAAATTATTCGATATTATAATAATTAAACTTTAGTTGCTGAACTTTCATAAATAGAGGATGATTGTATTGTTGCTTCGTTTAACAATAATATTTTCGTAAAGTTGTTCAGCCACATAAAAGTGTTGGGCTATATGACTTACACTACATTGCATACAGGATGATCAAAAGATATGTTCTACTACCATTTTAGTACATAATAATGTAACAAATTTCGGTACTTATTAATAACCTATCCATTAGTGCACGTGTTTCATCGATTTAGACAATTTTATTTTATAAATGGAAATCCTAATTATTACTATTTTACCATAGAAACTTTCACGTTTTCGTGTTTAAATATTTTATTCTTATATTAACCACATCAAGAGGGAATAACGGGTCATTTTAATGTGGCTCGTATATTTTACAGCAAACAGAAACAAAGAGAAACTACGCCAGATTTAGCATTTAATTAGATGTCTCGGGAAAATCGTTCTGAAAAGCTATTTAATCCAATGGAATGAGATAGAGCTTTGTGTGTCATTTGAAATTCTATTAGTGTTACAGAGTACGTGCTATACGACGCGTCGTTTTATCAGACAATGGGTTATCTTGTATTTTTTGTGTAGATTTTTTTCCGAACATATGCCATTCTTTGTTCCACATTCTTATATCCTCTATTTATAGAAGGGGTGCAATAAAAATTCACTATCGTGATAGTATGTTTTTATTACTGCATATATACATATGAGGGATCATCCACGATCTTACATACTTTAAAATTAATATTTACGAGTAACATTATATTTAACTTATAACAAAACAAATTTCAGAAAATATAGCATAAGGTTTTCCAAACTTTGCTACTGCCAAAACAATATGTTAATTTTTGTTACAGATTACGCAAATATTTAGCTTAGCTAATTAATAACTATTAATAATACCTTCATGCATATCTGAATACGTAAACATATAGCATTGTATGTGTTAAATTTTTAGAAGCGTTAGTGAAAATCAATTTTAGTTTAATGATTCATTAAAATAACACCAGCCGTAATTATGGGTGATTGATTTAATTATTATTATTTGATTATTAAATGTTAAACCAGGTCGTTCGATTAATTCTGTTTAATTACCGAACATGGACGTAATTATAGCGAGTTTTTATGTCTATGTTGAAATAATTTGCTAAAATTGGTGATTGTTATTCAACTTTAACACCACTAACAGATTGAAAGTTAGTCATAACTGTATTATCTGCTTTAAACACAGTTTTAAATCATATTCTGTTTTATTTGAGAAATGTAAAGTACACCCGCAATTTTGGCTGAATTATAAATTTTCCCCGAAACCGAAATGACTTCTTATTATTTCTAATGACAAGTATTAAAAACATTATTGTGCTGTGGATTGGTGTATCAGTGAATTAGTCAGTTTCTTCTTTTGTTATTCGTAAACTAAATTAACTCAATGCGTTAGAAACAACAGGGTTCGTAGCTTTATAGCTTTGAAACGTCGACTTGATCGGTTACATAATATTAGCGTCTGCAGAGAAATGTCAACTACACTCATACTGTTAAACTAGTAATAGATTCTAGACGGGTTTCGTATCCGACGTGGAGCTATCGTCCCAAGGGAGAGAGCAGGCGGCCATTTTAAATTACATTATTGTACGGTATTACAACTTTGAACTCGTACTACTTTTTTATAGCGAACTTTTGCGATGGTTGCAGATTGTTTCGATTTAACTGCTAGTCCCTTGACGATTTTCCCTTGATTTCGTATAATTTCAATATCGGTCCAATACTAAGACTACATAGGTATTTGAAATTATCTCTTTTCACAAATTCAATTTTGAATTGCTGCATTAAAAACACAGTTTTCATTATTTATGAGCAAATAACTACTTTATTATTATATTTTTGCAAGTTGATTTTAGAAGTGGCTTGTAAATGGCTTAGATATTTGTTTTATTAATTGCCAATAAATCTTGACATTAGATTCTACTACCGTGTAACAAATATTCGTAGTATAAGTTGTACGTAACACCAGCCAAACGCTACGGCGTAGCAATATTATTCGTTGTCGTATAATTATGGGCAATTTGTGTAATTACTACAGTCCATAATTCAATGAAAGCCGTAGAGCAATAAATTTGAATTATTGGAACTTCATTACTAAAATAATCACATAATAATAATAAACATTGACTTGGAAAATAAATAGTTATGGATGTATGAATTTTATCAATAATGATATACGTAGTATCAAAATTAAAATAGAAGTGAAGTACCTTAGTCAGAAAGTGCTGGGGATTCAAACACCTTACGCTATTATTCCAAAGCTCTTTTCCAATACCTATGTGACATATTCACAACATCAACTAAGTACAATCTTTGTTTCTTAGCTTCGTGAGTGCATCGCGTTGTGCGTCGTGTATTGGGGAGTCGGCCCGTTCGGCATGGTACCGGCACTCTGACGGGTGGCGTGGACAACCGCCGCCTCGCCGCTCACCCTGGGACTCCCTACCCAGCCTGCGACATGAGGGCAGCCTCAACGACTCCGGCTACAGAAGCAATAGAGCTGACAGCTTTGAACAAAGGTATGTTATTACGCAATAATACTTCGTCTTTCGGTGCCTCTTTCTCTAGTAAGGGTTACCGGACCGTCCTCAGTGTAATAAACGCATAGAATTGGCTAGAGGAATGAAATATCGTCTTTCTATGCGTATCCTTCTCTGTTTTTAAGTTACAGCGGTTACTATGCTATTGTAGCAAAGTCAGATTCGCGTTTCAATCTAAGTACTTTTTATATTTTCATCATACAAATATCACTAGGCTGGGTTGGCTTTTGTTAATTTATTTTACGCTTACAAAGCCTCGTACCTCGCAGGCTATAAATATTATTGTTTTGGAACTGTAATTCGAGTCAAAAGAAATTATAAATTAATACATAACAGTAACAATTTTAAATCATTTCGAATTTCCGTTAATTATAAATTCAAGTCATACTTGTGTAATTTCTTATCGTAAAGTTTAGTACAATGGTATCAAACGTCATAAGAAACTTGAGAGCGTAAGTTGCGTGTGTAATTTATAAATAAGATTCTGTTTTATTACAAAATTTGAAATAGACAATTTATTTAAAAAATGTATGCAAACCTATCCATTTCTTTAAGACGATATTAAATAAAGCAACGGAAATTAAAGTTATACTTTAACTTAAATTATGTCGTGCATATTATTCCGTAATGACAATTCTGCGTAATATTTGTCGGCTAATTTCCATGTTTTGGTGTTTGAGAGTATCTAGCACGAATATTTGCCACCCTCGTATCATGACATTATAACAAAATGTCTGTATAAGATGCAGGGGCGCTGCACTAATTTTAAGACAAATCTCGTTAAGCATTCTCACAAATATCCATGCCCTCAGCACAGAAAGATTTCGAACATCTTGTTTGCCAGTGTAAACCATTTAGTGGGTTTAACCCTCATCAGCATTGCATTAATTGGCATATCAAACAAGACATAAACTCAAGCTCGTATCATAGTAGACAATGTAAATTCAGTCTCGTTATTTTAATGCAAATGAAGTCTTAAAATGCTAATTCTGTGTGGTAGAACTCGGTTAGATTTTACATTGAACGGTGTTTCAAAAGTTTAGCAAACTTAATAGAATGTATTCGGCGAACTTTGCATTAAAATCTTTTAGTAATTACTTTCGTAATTTAAAAAATAGAAGCAAAAACAAAGTACGCGAGATTGTTTATCTAAAGTAGGAGATCGATAAGTTCCTTTACTAATAAATGTTCAGACGCGAAATAAGAACGTTATAAAGTTGATACTGATAAAATATTTTGTACGATATTTGTTGAAATAAATAGAAGGTGTAAGCGAAAAAAAAAACTATAAAACTATCAAAAAATAATATGTAACATAGCAAATATATTCGGTCGATTTAGACACATTTTACTATGTTGTAAGCTTATGTTGATAGTACGCTAAAGTTTTATAAAGTATTTATATGTCAAATAACACGCGGTACTTCGTGTAACAGTTTCATGTAAATTATTCTACTCATTATAGTTTCATATTCCATGTAAAGTCTTCATCAAATATGCAGATATATTTACTTCTTCCAATATCGACTCTATAATGACTATAGTTCACTTTCTACATAATATTAATGAGATATTTTGAAGCCTGCATAATGTAATTTATTACAAGAACGTCTATATATATATATATATATATATATATATATTTTATGCAATTTTGTTTTATGTTGAGTTATATTAAATTATTCAAATTAGCATTTTTAAAGTTGAAACATGAAATAACAAATAGCCGCAATGTATTATTTTAAATATCATTAAATATTATGTTTATCAATTTTATCTTATCAAAGTATATACATTATTATTGGAATCATTCACACTACAGAAACTAATATATTAGAAATTTATTTTCCATTGTGTAACCATGATATAGTATTTCATACATTATAGAACAATATATTGGAAACAAGTAGGTCATTTCATGTGTACTAAAAGCAATTTGACAATTATGACTCATTATACCAGTGACTTTTACTCCGATTACAGTTTTAAAATAATGACTATTATTATGACTTTTTGTACCGCTGGGCAACCCTTTTATCGTTAAATACAAGCCTCAGCGTAGCTTTCCACTCTTTATTTGTCGGAATTCAGGCGGAATACATTTAAATCATTTTGATGCGTCATTTTCAGAAAATAAGGGTTCGAAAAGATTTTAGAAATAACTCCTTAAATATATAAACCATAAAATAAAGCTATATCGTAAAGTAGCTCAAAATTTTGTTAAACAATTTTCTAAGAATTCTATAGGTATGATCTTCCATGAAGAGTCCTGACTTGATAAACATTTCGATTCGACTATTCTAAACAGGGTAGAACTGATCACGCCCATAGATATTGGTAGTAATCCTAGTTGATATAGAACTTGTATTCCAGGGGAGTATTCGATCGTCAAGACAGCGTTCGCTCGGAGTACGCCAGCGATCGAGAGTCCACGCGCTACGGCATCGTGCAGCAGGCCTCCGTTGACAGCACCGATTCCAGGATCTGCTATCTCACTTCCAGCGAGGTAAGCATATATACGAATACACACATAAACGATTTTACATTTTGATATTTTCATGATATTATGTTGGTTACAGTTAGGTATATAGCAGCATCTTATTCTTCAGAGTGTTCTGATAGATCGTATATTGTATCCACAGAAATAGGCGACACACAAGATTGAATCAATTTAAATTTAATATTCACCATTTAACATGTTCTACGTATCCGGGGTGACAATGTAAATCCAATTATTATATGCGTATTATTTCAATGCATTTCTAATCGAATACATAGTTTGGCTTACGTTAGCTATTGTGATGTGCATAGTTGGAATGTACGTCATCAGTTATTAAGTGAGAATAGGATTATTATGCATCGGACGCGTTGAGCCGGAGCCGATTACGCTTAATGCAGATCAGCTGTAACCCGGTTACAAAATGTGAGCTGTTTATTCGTGCGAAATCTATTTGTGTTAGCTAATAAAAACCTTTTAAATTTAACAGTATTATTAAATTGAAAAGCTTGAATGCTTAGATGTGTGAATGTGGAAAAAAATATTATATATATACAAATTTCTACGCACCCCTTTGAGTTTAGGCGTGAATTTTGTATATTATTCACATTTTTAAGTAGCAATTGTAATGCATTATTTTAATCGTAGCAAGAATACAAGTGTACTTAACTGAATTGTTTACAAGTGTTAACAAGGCAAATGAGTAAAGCTGTAAATTACGTAACAATTCTAGAAAAAAAAACATAAATATCTTCACGGGAAAACATAGTACCAAAAATTCAACATAGGTATTTAATATTGAAGCATTTCGTGAAAATTTCTGACAATGTCAACATACACAAAATAAAATGATCTGTTCCTCAACAGACTACCACCGCCAGTTAACAATTATTACGACGCTAAGTTTTGGGCCACTTCATTTGGGCTTAATGCCATGTTTGATAAGGGTAGCAAGTAAACTCACTTATAGAATTATGACACATTAACTTTTTAGGTTATTTAATTAAATGGATATAGAATTTATCCATACAAATATTCAATAAGTATTTGGTATAATATATAGGTAAAATCTTGTATTTTTTGCACATAATAATAATAAAAACACAGTGTAAAGTAATTTTCTTGCTGTAATCATTTCTCTTTTGTTTTAAGAATGAAACATTGACATTCTGCAGAACAAAAATGTAAAAGGAGATTCCCATGGGCAAACGCAGTTGTATATTTTAAATAAACAGAAAAAAGATCTCACAGCTACAAGCTAAAGAATTTTATAATCTAGGGAATGAGATATCGGATATTTTTACTTGATTTTACAAATATTCTATGAAACGTCTTTGCGTCATACTTAAAAAATAAAAAAATTCAATATAAAATAACTTTATTAATCAATCATAATATAAAAATTATTATTCCATAAGCCTTACGATTTACAGTCGAAGGCGAAGCATAATAAGCGTACTACAATTTTTTTTAAATGATAATTAATAATATTCGGTCGACTGGATATCAAATTTCAGTCTTTCAAAAGATGATGATGACTTTTACGATTATCTCCAGCACTTTTCATAAAAAAAGCGCCGTTCATTGTGGTTCAGACTTAATAATAAAAATTACACTAAATCCCTTATATTTAGAAGTGTTATTAAAAATTCTTTTAAATTTCTTTTTCAAAGTAACCTATTCTCAAATGATTTACTAGAGCTAATTAACTTAATAAAATTATCAGCAAAAGTGTTGACACCATTGATATTTTAAACTATCATAAAAAGCCTTAAAAGAAATAGACAGTAAAATTAAATGTGATCTAATTTAAATCCCTAAACTTCAATAATTCCCATAACTGATCTCCGTTATTCGCTTGATTTAACGACGAAGGCATAAGTAGCGGGAAGCACTACAGATGCAGGTGAGCGGCGACGAGCTGCAGAGATCTAATCACAGAGCTAATTGGGACTCCAACTTGCACTCGATAATGCTTGACTTATCAGAACCATTCGCTGAACTGAGGCGAAATTGCTTCACAAACAACGAAGATACGCCACTCACTTCACTCCATTTCAATTATCCTTCTTCTATTTGCACAAAGGAATCTATAAATACTTGTTTGTATTAAGATAAAGTAGAAAAAATAGGACAAGTTATCAATAATAAATTAGAATATAAATTCGTTTATATAAGTAATTTAGATATTTATGTGTTTCACGGCTTCTAAATTAATTTCTTAAAATAAATAATTTAGTTGAAAAGCAGGTTAATTATTTAATAATGAATAGAATAATTTCTTGTCTGCAAAGGCAGTCTGATGAGAAACGTATTTAACTATTTTTAACACTTCTTTTACTATCAAATTAAAGACTATCTTTTTTTTCATTATAAAAAAAACAATTCGAAATTTCATTCGAACGAAGTCGTGCATATTCAGTTCAATATAAAAGTGGGATATTTTTTCATGCATGTAAATAGATGGAAGTCGAAAAGGGAAAGGCTGCTAACAAAAAAAAAATGGAAAACAGACTTTTGAAATGCTTTTGAATTGCCTTTCGAACTACGTTTTGCTCGTTCTTTTACTTTTATATTATATATCAAATGGTACATAAATAAATTTGAATTAAGAAAATCTTTACAATAAAACCTTCCGTCTCAAACAAAGAACTGAAGAGTTTATCCAAACTGCTCACTAATGAAGCAATTTGACTAAGTGCTGTTAATCCATCCCCTTCTCGAATCGATTTGCATTTGGTCGATATTCATTTGTTCGCGGATTGATGAGCGAGGAAATCCCTTAAATGGGAATTCATTCATCGGAAACTATGAGACTTAGTAAGAGAATATATTAACGCCAAGATACAGAATGAAAATGGGCTAAGATAGAAAAGATATTAAAAATTATATAATTGTGTTTTAAAATATTGTATCGTTTTATTATCTCCATAAGCATAATGACATAGTATTTTCCTTAAATTGTTATAGCATTTTATTTTGAAAATCGAAGATTTAAAAAATGTCACAACTAACTTTTTCTCGTCGTCATTTACTTTGTTTTTTTGATACCCGAAAAACTATTCTAAAAATAATTTTATTTTTATAGAATGAGATCATAAAAAATACAACTTTAATGGGACCATATCCTACTCATACCCATCACTATACAACTTGGATTACTTACTTTATCTTAGAACTATAAAAAAGTGAACGTAAGTACCAATAAATCACAGACTTTATAGCGAACGTGAGACTGTAAAGTACGTCCATGTGAACATTTACAAAGACCTTAAACAAGCTAATCCGCAATAGTGTTTTTACAACCTGAAACTAAATAAATAATACTGTATACTATAGATAGTGTTTATATTTTTTCACGTAATTTTTTGTCAAATTATTATTTATACATTAAATATTTATTTGATAATCACATTAACATTTTTGTAATGATATAAAAATAGACATTCATAATTCGCTTATTTTAATGAGACTTTTGTGTTTTGGCGTAGTATCGTAAAAATATAGGTCAAATTATCGACGGTCCTAAATAACACTAAACTTTATTTATGAAGCCTTTATTCCGAGCACGTCTGGTATTTCTCCTAAAAGACAATATAACAGTTATTTACACCGATACCTTAACATAAATATCCTACGTAATTTCACATCAAATCTTCTCTACCTACTTTAACCTCATTATGGACCCGCTTAAATCTATTTATACACCCAATCTTTTCATGTTGCTATTCATTAAAGGCGTCTTTATAGGACAAGGTTTAAAGATCATTCATTCAATTTGCGGTATAAATCAATATCGTTCCTACAATGTATGTAGTTTGATCTGAAACAGTGCAATAGAAGATTTAGAGATATTCATGTGAAAATAGTGCGCACATCGTTTGTTACTCAGTCTATTTGGCTTACAAATATAATTAGAGAGGAGCTATATTTGATATAACAAAGTCATAGATAGGTTTAGGTCGAGCGAGGCCTGGGTGGTCGGGGGCCGTCGAGGGCCGTCGGGCTCGATCGTCGGGACCTGCGCGCCGGGCAACGCGCGCCGATGCGCTGTAACCTTCCCAATCGTATTCAGAACGTAGCATTAAAAATATTATTTTTGAGGTTATCTTTCTTAGTTACAAAAATATGAATCAAAACTAATTGTGAGCCTCCAATAAAAGTGGAGGAATACGTTCCAAGAGAAGTGTCGAATGTCGCGAAAGAGAACGCTTAATCGGAAACTAAGACGTTTTGTTTGTGTAAATACAAAGCTTTTACTGTCAAGTGCACGGACAAAGGAGATCTCATCGTACAGGAAGCCTTTCGCTCATTACTAGAAATCATTCAACACTATTTTCATTCAAATAATTAAGAATAGTCTGGACTATTGTAAATTTAGTGTTTCAAACATATCCAGCATTTAAAGTGAAGTCAATTAAGGCCTAGTTGTCATCAATAAGACGTTTTTTGTAGTATCCCAAGCTTGAAAAGTAAAGATAACATAAAGTGACTGTTGTTAGTAGAGTTCCTGCTGAATGTACTGCTTCATCCACCTGTGATATTAAATCATCTGCTAAGCAAATGTACCTAACCTTTGTGAATATCGTATCTTCCATACTGTTTTGACTATTAGATTGTTCATCGTTATAGCTTAATATTGTTAGGAATTGAAATATTTAAATGAAATAAAAATTTACGCACAAAATCTATTGTTGTTGTTGGTAGTTTCGCGCTAAGGATTTGTTTTTGTTAGACTTGTATACTAGGTGCTATAAATATGTTCGTTACATGGTAACTGTATGGGGGCCACCAAATCAAAGAGTGCTGACTTTATAAAGGTAATTAATTTGAGATTTCGCCCTATAACTTATACTTCTTCCTAATTATCTTCAATTTAGAATGCCTTTAGCTCGTATATGTGTCATTATACTATGTATATTTACTGCTTACTAGTTGACATATGGAAGTTTTAGTTATTGACTTTAAGTATTAGTAAAATAAATTTAGTACACTTTAAGTATTGAACA